CGGAAATGGTTTTTGGTAGAAAGGTATACCAACTTTGGTATTTTTGAAGATAGAAGCTTTGGACTTTTTTTTAGATATTTTATTGTAATTAATTGGTTTTATTATGATATTCTCATAAGGATCGGCAAACTATATCCGATGTTTGCGATATATACCCGGTTTTAATTGCAAGGGTATATCAACTTTGGCTCCGACGGAAGTTAGCTATTCTTTCTTGTTTTGTGTGGTTTTATTTAAAACTGTCCAAAAGGGACAACCAATAAATATTGTGGCAGAAAACTTGGCTTATGTGTAACTTAAGTTAGAGGTGGAAAAATAAGAATGTCTAAGAGTTATTCCGGATGAGGTTCAGCGGGTGAGTTCTGCGGAGCTACACATCTACAGAGTTCTTAAGGGGGGACATCTGAGTAACAGGCGAAAAAAAACGGATTTTCTCGAATTTTTTTGGCCAAATTAAATAATTATTTAATTAAATGATAAATTAAATTTCTAAATGAGGTTTTATTATATTATATTTGAATAACAAAATACATTTTTTTTTAATAATCGACACACCTAGGATTTTTTCGATATAAAATTTTTTGATGATGATTTTTTGCAAAATGGTGAGTTTTTGAAAAAATTTTTCAATTTTCACGAACAAAAAAAGTCACAAAATTGTTGTGTTCAAATTAGAGTTGTTCAAATTATGTGTTCGGCCAACTCAAAAAAAGCGGTTTCGAGAAAAACGCGTTTAAAGTTTTAAGTACTGTGGGATATACCTGTGAGGCATCGCCGCAGCATGGAAAATTTCGACACTTAGACACTTTGGCCGGACTCTATATTTTGATATGTTATTTTTAAGAACCTAAAGAATTTTTTAAGCGAAAAAAAATTTTTCTGATTTTTTCAAAACTCTACTCAGATGTTCCCCTCTCAAAATAAAATCGTATGCATATGCTCCCCTCCCATCAACAAGCTCGACGAAAAAAGTTGTCAGTTTTGGGCCCTTTATTTATACAATCTTCTATACCATAGTCTGTAATATCCACGCAGGCAGGCAGACATGGCTATATGTATATACTTTATGGGCCTAAGTTTCATCAAAGATTATAAAGTACATAGATGGGACATCTCATACAAAAAAAAATTTTCTATGGCGGGTTCCATTGCGCGACAAGTTAAGTTTGAGAAATTTTTCGCGCGATAACGAATGAGGAATAGCCGAGTGGTAGAGTGCTTGGCTTGTGTGCAAAGTAAAACGAGTTCAAACCAGGCTCGGGACATCCATTTTTTTTTAATTTTAAATCTATTTATATTATATTTTTATTCTTTTAATGTGTTTTCCTTGGCAGGCCGCGTCGTGGAGCCCGCTCTCAAATGTTTTTATTTTATCCGTCGTGGAACCCGCTGTAATAATGAAAACATTTGAGAGCGGGTTCCCCGACAAACGGCTGGCAGATGAGAGAGGGGAAGAGAGAATTCTATTTTTTAGATCGTAACATCTTTGGAACGATGAAAGTTTGAAACGTTGTAATCGAACCAATGTGAGAGCGAAGAGACCAGAAATATCTTCTACTATCCTTACTCGTCAGCTCTGTTTTTGGTATGGATTCTAGCGCCTCCTTTAACACCAATTTTAAGTATCTTATAAACAACTTCGAGGGTAGCCTAGATGGATAGTGCGCGCTCCTTATTCTTGGGGTCCTGGGTTCGATTTCATAAGCGGGAGGTTGTTTCAATTTTGATAAAGTTTTAGTTTTATGATTCTTTTTATATTTACTTTTATTTATTTTTTTACTTTTTTACTTTTTATTTTTACGTTATTATTATTATTTTTAATTGCATTCTATTACAATTGTTGTAAAAATGAATGACGGGCGTGTCGGATGCCAAAATGCCGGAAGGACTCCCTTGAAATTTTATTAGCATTTTATTAGCGGGAAATAATGAAGAATAAAACAATTTTACAATTGTAAAATTAAAGAAAAATATTAAAATTAAAGAAAAATAAAACAAAAAATAATTTTAAAAGAAAGAAAAAGTTCAAGGCCTTACGAGGATTTGAACACAGAAAAATTACACATAGAGTAACTACTCTATGCATTACGCTTCCACCCTGTCTCGATCTGCAGCGATTAAAAATACTATTTGTTCTACTAACTACCACACCGGCGCATTGAAAACAGAAACAAGAAATTGAAATTGGAAGCCAAAACCTTTTTACGCCGTCGTGCGAGCAGTCACACATACAAAGGCTCATATTTTTGTTGACGGATACATGTAAAGAGTTCTTAAAATAGAATCGTATGCATGTGCGTTCCGCCCTCACCAACAAGCTCGACGAAAAAAGTTGACCTTTTGGGCCCTGATGTCCCATCTATGTACTTTATAATCTTTGGTTTTATACATAAATGTACACGAGTACAATATTCCCAAGTACTCTACGAGTTTAAAATGGAAGCCTCTCTACGGGTAAAAAAACGGAAGACAGTTAAGTTATAAGTCGATTATTTTTTAACTGAGAGGCCACTTCACGTAGAATCAGTCAAACAGATGTATGGTAGTATGGTAGATCAGAGTGATTGTGATACTGATATCCTTTAATCGGTAATCGTACATCAATCGGCAATAAAACCTATCCCAATCATTAATAGGATCAGGATAAGATAGAAGAATATAGAATGGGATTAAGAACCTACACATTATAGCTTAAATGTCTACAAAAAATTTTATTTTATTTTTTACAGACGTAGTCACTATCCTGGCAGTAATTGTAATGTTTATCATCTGAATCATCTTCTTACCAGTATTTCCTTTCACTTTAAAAGGTTTATAGCTCGAATGTAGAGCCAACAACATGTTTAGGGACAAAAGAGTCAAAGTTGACTTTATTCAGTATATTTTTTGTCAAGGTATCAACCGAGTCTATATATATAAAAGAACAACGTGTTTTATGTTACAACACTTATAAATCAAGAACGGAAGAACAGATTTGAGTGAAAATTGGTAGGGAGGTAGCTTAGAGCCAGGAGAAGGACATAGGATACTTTTTGTCCCGTTCGACAGCGTTCCTCCCTGGCCCATACTTTTTTATTTAGGCAGACAGCTAAGAAGAAAATGTCAAATGTCAAAATGTCAGTTACAAACGAAGTCAAATTCATAGTCAGGCTCTCAAATTTAACAACGAACCAAAAAGATTGTGTTGCGCTTCCGGGAAAGTGAAATTGCCTCAACTTGAAGCACCACTAGAGCCTCTGCACTCTCTATTGATATTTGTAAGAAATCAATATTAAAACTATTTCTATTAAATAAATAATTAACAAGTGGATTGAAGTGAAGTGAAGTTTAATTAATAATGCCGCGACCAAGACGATCGAATCTTTCCCGACAAAGCCGTAATGCAAGAAGAATACAAAATACTGCATATGAAAGGACTGAAGAAGAACGAGAAATTGCACGTGAACAGAGCCGCAATAGTAAGGCTCGACTTCGTGCTTCTCAAATAGATTTTAATTTGCGACGAAAATTTTTAGCTGATTTGAATCGAGCTGCGTTTCGATACGATTGCAGCAATGATTACAGCTTGCATCCTAGCGTTTGCATTGGGCAAATGGACGTTGTTTGCGAGTATTGTGGTGCATTAAAGTTTTCCGGAGAAACGCCTGGATTATGCTGCGTTAATGATAAAGTGAAGTTGCCAGTAATTCCAAGATCTGCGGCTGCCGACGAAATAAACGCTTGCCTCAAATCGTCAAATCTATGGCGCTATGTGAAGAAACTGCAGCTGATAACAAACATGAGAGTTACATTGCTTTATGATACATCTGCTGAAGATTTCTCGGAGCAATTTCTGACTATCGGTAATGGTCAAGTACCTGTCGATGAATCGAGCGGATTAATATCATTTCCAAATAATTTTTGTAATTTTGTCTCATCAAAAGACGAACTTATCAACAATGTATTTCCAAATATTATTTCTAACTACAAAAATAATGAATGGTTGAGTGAGCGAGCAATTTTAGCGGCTAAGAATAAAGATGTAGATGACCTGAACTACATAATTCAAAATAAGATCATTGGAACAATGCATTCATTCAAATCTATTGACTGCGTCACAAATGAAGATGAAGCCACCAACTATCCAATTGAATTTTTAAACTCTTTGGACGTGCCTGGCTTACCACCGCACAATTTACGCCTAAAGGTTGGCTCCGTAGTAATCATGCTTCGAAACATAAACCAACCAAAACTGTGCAACGGTACGCGTTTGGTGGTTAGTAAATTGATGAACAATGTAATTTACGCTACGATAATGATAGGAAAATTCAAAGGTGGGGAAGTTCTAATTCCGAGGATCCCGATGATCCCAACCGATATGCCGTTTGAATTTAAAAGACTTCAATTTCCGATACGTCTTGCATTTGCCATGACAATCAACAAATCACAAGCCCAATCCTTAAAAGTTTGTGGTTTAAATCTAGAACATTCATGTTTTTCCCATGGTCAATTATACGTGGCATGTTCACGGGTCGGAAAACCATCTGCGTTGTTTGTTTTTGCGCCTGATAATAAAAAAAAAATGTCGTGTATCACAAGGTGCTTGAGTGAAGAGCAACCTATATACTAAAATACAGAAATAATAATGAATGATTAAGGAGGAGAAACAAAGAATATTGTATACCCACAAGTATTACAGAATTTAATTAATTTGAAAATTATTCTTTTTTGTTTGACTTTTTTTTTATGCGTGCAACAACAATATGCCACAGCGAAACGTGGCAGGGTACTGCTAGTTAATTATAAAGGAGAAAACCGCTTCTTTTGAACTAGCTTTGTAATCCGAGAACGAACATCTTTAGGTTCTTAACTTACACAGATAATATTTATATAATCTGGCATGTAATATCTAAGATCGTGTTTTATAAAATTAAATTTTGGTAATTTTATTAATATATTTTAAATAAAAATGTGTGTAAAAATATAGCAGAACATTTAATTGGTAAATACAATATATTAACCTGCATGGGACTGTTCATCTTCGCCTCCTGATGTGTATCGACGTCCATGTATACCCTTTTCCCTGTAAAAAAAAAAATGAAATCGAATAGAGTAATAAATAACAATAGTTTTCAACCAAGATGCTAGGTAAACGTTTTGAGATAATTTTTTATGGCTCCTTTGAACCATAAAAAAGCTCCTACTCCTTTGAACTTTTAAAAAAGCTCCTACATTAAAAAAAGGACGTTGCAATACAATAATTGTATAATAGTTTAATTTTTATTTTTTTTTATACTCTTGCAGAGCGCATTTTTATTTTAGTCAAAAGAGTGCAACGTATGCAAGAGTGTGTGAAAGAGACATCTTCGACCCTATAAAGTATATATATTAGGGCGGGTTAATTTGTTTCTGTCAAAAAATCCTGAAAATCGTCTTCCATAATTGGAATCTACGAAGAATTCTAAGAAAATTTCACCATGAAACCATGTGTATAAAATAAATTCCTAGCTCGCGCCGTGAAGCTTAAAGATTTCACTATGAGATAAATAAGGTATTTCGAGCTATTTAAGGCATTTTAATGTATTAAAAAAAACCTACGCATTTCCTTATTATGTTGGAGTCAATTCTGATTCATCTTTTCACAAAAAATTTTATAATTTTTTTTAAATTTATTTAACTTATAATTATTTTTAATTCGACAAAGTTAGTTTAACTAGCCATGTACTGAGCCTCATATAAGAAAGTAGAAGCAATGCGTCTGTAACTTTTTAACGAAGTAGGGTATCGGTCTGAAAATTGAAATATATATTTAAAGGCATTTTAAGCAACTAAATAAAAGTAGGCGTGGCATGATAAAGGGCGGAATTTAATTTTATTTTTGATCTGAGGGATCAAAATCTGAGAGAATATGTAAACAAAGCAATCCAAAACAATGCATTCTTCGCCCATACAGAAAATATTTTGTTTACAATGCTTTTCGATGAAAGAAAAACAGTTCGCGAAAGTGAAATTAAAAAAATTATGTATTATTGCGAGAAATTATATGACCCAACTAAACTTAGATCTTATATAAAGAATCGCATTAATTTCGATTGCACCGATTATATGCATTTAGTTGACTTGGATAATGACGACATCTTATTTGAAGCTCCATTTACTGCAAACATCCCACACGATCACATAATCGTGTATATAAAAATATAAATACATAATTCTTGGAATACATGGAATACATAAATTCTGCTGAAATAACACTGCCAGATCCAGCAATTCCATCGCACATTCAGGGGACCGAACGATGTGGCAGTTGTTAACACATGTCTCACGACGAGTTATGCCACAGTATCGAGATTCTGTTGTCGTTGACTTTAGAAAGTCGTTCCAAAGTTCCTCAAATCGAGTCAAAGAAAGACTTGAGATTCTAATAAGATGACGTTATATTCCAAATAAACAAAATGCAAAAATTACCTACTTGTTGGAAATAAACTTTATAGTAAAAAATAAAATAAATTCCGCCCTTTATCATGCCACGCCTACTTTTATTTAGTTGCTTAAAATGCCTTTGAATATATATTTCAATTTTCAGACCGATACCCTACTTCGTTAAAAAGTTACAGACGCATAGCTCCTACTTTCTTATATGAGGCTCAGTACATGGCTAGTTTGGCTAATTTTGTCGAATTAAAAATAATTATAAGTTTAAAAATTAAAAAAAAATTTTAAAATTTGTTGTAAAAAGATGAATCTGAATTGACTCCAACATAATTGGAAAATGCGTGTTTTTTTTTAATACATTAAAATGCCTTAAATACCTCGAAATACCTTATGTACCTCATAGTGAAATCTTTATGCTTCACGGCGCGAACTAGGAATTTATTTTATACACATGGTTTCATGGTGAAATTTTCTTAGAATTCTTCGTAGATTCCGATTATGGGGGACGATTTTTGCGAAAAAAAATTGACCCACCCTAATATATATTCTCGATCAGGATCACCTTCTAAGTTTAAATAAGCTCTCCGTCTGCCTGTTTCTACGCAAACTTTGCGCACACCCTTCTTTCTTTTACACACAGCATATAAGTCGGAATGGTCGGAATCGGGCGACAATATCCTATTGGTACCATATAACTGATTAATCGGAAATTCCATAACTTTGATGTTTTTAAAGTTAGAGAAATATTTTCTATGGATCCTTATTTTCGCAAAATAATACGGCAAACCCAATTTTATAAAGATCGGCCGACTATATCCCAAATATAAAATAGGATATCCTAAATAACGGTATAACTGAACGATCGGAAATGACCCAACTTTCGTGTTTTTTTAAATTAAAAGTTGGAAAGTTAGATTACATAATAATCGGCCGTCTAATCTTATTGTTGCCATATAACCGAACGATTGGAAATGGTATTTGGTAAAATTACCAACTTTGGTATTTTTAAAGATGGAAGCTTGGGACTATTTTTTTAGGTTTTTTATTCCAATAAATTGGTTTTATTAAGATTGTCTCATAAGGATCGGCAAAATATATCCGATATTCGCGATATATATTCGATTTTAACTGCAAGGGTATATTAACGTCGGCTCTGCCCAAAGTTAGCTTTGCTTTCTTGTTAAATTCTCAAAATGATTTTCAAACCCACATATTAGGAATTTTTTATAAAAAAAAGCTCAAAATTTTTTCGTGTAGACCGTAGTTACCGTAATATTTATGTTTTGAAACGCTCGATCATTTTTGGATACTTACCTGAAACCAGTCTGATTGGCGTACACTAACTTGCTAGATCCATCCAGTGAAACCTCTTCAACGGAATTATGATTGGGTGCTGATAATGGACCTCCATAGTTTTTTGTAATCGGCTTCTTTGCATAAGGCGGATCGTACTTAAGTGTCGTTGTTTTGCGTCTTTGTTGATGTAAGCATCCGAAATCATGTTTATTTATTATTATTATATATTATTATTTTATATATTTTGCATACACACAGGACATATAATATTTAAATTAGTTTTAACATTTTTATATTTATGGTTATATTTAATTATAATAGTTATGAATTAGAATTTACACAGAAACGATTTCGTCAAAGTGAATCAGTTTGAGTAACTCAGGTTTTTTAGATCAGTATAGATATGAATTTATTTTAGTTTGTTCGGTTTGTAAATATATAATAAAAAGCACCTTGATTTACACAACTCACAGACCCACATTTACAATAATTAAAAAAAAGTGAAGAATATTTTAAACCATTTAAGTGAAGTTTAAAAACTTTCAATTTCATTTAATTGCGTTATTTCTAACTTAAATTTTTTTAAGTCATTTAAAAGGATTTTTTTATAAACTGCTTTTATTAGGTAAAAGTCATAAAGTAATAATTGGAATAATATTGAGTTTGTTTGCGTTAACTTATAGAGAGTACGAGAAAATATTTCCGGTATTCTCTTTGGTACCCAAACCGGTACGTACAAATGTTGAAAAAGGTATGCTTATATCAACGCAGATCAAGAATATATATATACGTTTTAGGGTAGTAGATGTCTCCTTCATTACGTTGCTCCAAATGTTATAGAAAAACGGACTAAAATGCACTTTGCAATCACACAGGCCGACAAGAAAAAGTCTCCACGCATATTTACACCTGCTCCATACTCTTTAGGCTCTCTTGGACCAAAGTCCAGAACAACAAAAGTTTCATTACCTGAAATGTGATCGTTTCGAATCTTAAATGTTCTAAGTAAAATTAATAAATGGCATCCAGCTGTTACCATATCTTCCATATCTTTGGAATACGCATTAAAAGATCAAATACATTTTTATACAGCTATTTTCGTGCATCTATGATTTATACCCAGCAATTTTTTGTATGGAAGTTGTTTGTTTCTAATTGAAATAAAGCGAGTATAATATTTTCTAAAAATATGTGGTCATGTAATATATTTTAAAATCTTATACATTTTTTTTTTCTTATGTATACCGCGGAAACTATGGGTAAAAGTTTGAGAAGTAATTAAAATTGGATTTTTTCGGCCTGTGTCATTTAACTAAAATTGATTGGAAATTTCTTTAAATTTTTCTTCTATCGAAGTATCTGCGGATTCTTTTTACGGAGTAGTTTATAACGCGTTCAACACTTTTGTTTCTGAAGTCTCATTATCAACAAAACCACTTTGGTTGATAATCACCTTTCTCGTCTCAAGAACAGGAAACAAGAGCTTACAAAAAGTTTTTAGGTTTTCTTGTTTCATTAGTAAAACTTTGCATATAACCAGTTTACCATCCCTAAAAATAAACTATTAACGTTATATTGCGATTTATTTTTATTTTTTGGCAATATTAAACTTAAATATATTTTTTCCCTGACTTTTAACATTATTTCCGATTCCTCTGAACTGGGTATTGATAATCTCTTTTCTTCGTTTTTTCAATTAACTTATTTGTCCGCTTCATATGATCTCAACTCTAATTATTCCTATAGAATATTCCCTATAACTATAACAAATCTTGCAGTGGATGACTTCCTATCTACCTAACACGCTCGCAGCATGTTTTGCTTAAAAACATCTCGCCACAGATAATAAACGATTCAACTACCAACGTTTCGTCCCGCAAAATAGTCACTTAGGAGTGTTTTTCCTCTTTGTTTTCTTTTGAACGACTTATCTAGTGTCTTGAGTTATGCTACTACATTTATTTATGCTGATGGTGCCATGTTATGTTTTTTTTTTTACACCATTTTATTCACAGACACTTGCAATTAGATCTTGGTGAAGCCTTTTTTTTGTGTTCTAAGGTTATGACGTTTAATCGCTATGTGCCTCACATCGTCTCGTACTCACTTGGGATTAACGTTCTAGATCGTATTCCTTAATAAACGATCTTGGAGTCCTTTTTAACCAAAAGCTGTCGTTTGATTTTTTTTTTTAGTTTTAGGTGCATCTTCTTGCATTCGATGTGTTTACGCCAGGTTAGTTGTCTATCAAGGTGGACGCCCAGGTACGTTACTTCGTTAGCTTAAGGGATCTGCATACCGTTTAGTAAAAGCGGAGGACATGTTTGTCTATTAAGAGTAAAAATAACATTTTTACACTTTTGTTCGTTTGCTTCAATGCGCCAGTCGGACAGCCACCTTTTCACTACTATGTGATGATTAGCGAGTTGGTTTGTTGCTTGGGTTGGGCATCTGGAGCGATTAAGGATAGCGGTATCCTCGGAGAACGTTGACGTTGTTAGTTGTTCGTTCGTACGGCCGAATGCGCTTCCTTGTGGAACTCCAGCTTCGATTATGTAGTCGCCCGAAGTAGCTGCGTTATTTCTCACTGAAATTTCCCTATTGTAGGGTTATGATTCCAGAATGATAATGATAATGGTCAATGATCATTATGATAATGCATTTCTTCCACTTTTTTGGGAAATAGACAAGATTAATGATCCCATTAAATAGTTAACAGACGACCTCAATAGCGCATTTTGGAAGTTCGATCACATCTTTGGCGTCAGTAGGTCACCACAGGGAGCCTTTTTTGGTTTTACCCCTCTTATGACTTTTTCGATTTCGTTCGGCCGGAATGAAGGTGCGGCTGGCTGAGGGGAGGACTCTGGCTGAATTTCTGGCAGGAGGAATGAATTTGAGGCTGGGTTTGGCTGGAAGACACTTTGGAGATGTGTGGCGAATGTTTCAGCTCGGTCTTCGTCGCTGCAAGCCCAGCATCCCGAAGAGTTTCTTATCGGGGTGGTCGTTTCAATTGGGGCGCTAAGTGCTTGTTGGCGAGAGATTCTGGATGTACCTCAGCTGTGCATTTTCTTCCTGTTGGTGAAGAGCCTGGTCGAGTCATCGGGTTGCATCCTTAAACCGTTGTTTTGAAGCTGGTGATCTGCTGTTTTGCCAATCCCGACGCTTTTCCAATCACCTCTTTTCTCGCACGAGCTGTTCGATTTGCTGATTAGATTTGAAGTGTTTGTTTCGGTCTACATCTTTCCTATGAGGAATAGAGATTTTAGCTGCCGCAACGAGTTAGAAGTCAGGGCGCTCGTAGTGTAGTCGATGTCCGATTCCATGTTAAATTCCGAGGCGAGTTCTATGTGGGCACTCACGTACATTTTGTATTTTAGCCAGTTCGTTTTTGGCGTCTTCAGGCTGAAGGGGTGTTCGGTTATTTCTGGGTCTGATGATAAATCCGAGACTGCTTTGGCACTTATTAGATTGCGAGGTATGTTTTTTGTCACTGCAAAATCAATAAGGTCTGGGAGCTTTCGTGAGTCTGTTGGCCAGTATGTGGAACTTCCAGGGGAAACGTAGTCCAGTTTATTTTTCACATTTATAATTGCATTGTACAATTGTCTTCCTTTGGGAGTCACTAGACGTGATCCCCAGTGCGTATGTTTGGCGTTGTAGTCTCCTGCGGCTATAAATCGATCCCCAAGTGAATTGTAGAAGTCCATAAATTGTCCTTCCGAGATTGAGAAACGAGGAGGGCAGTAAACGGCAGCGATTGAAAGGATTCCGTTGCTTGACTGAATTTGTATCGATGTGGCCTGCAAGAAGTTTGTTGCAAACCTTTTGTGAAAGTGGTGTTTAATGCGTTCTCTGATTAGAACTCCAGTTCCGCCGTGGGCTTTCCCATCTGGATGATCTGTGCGGTAGATTGTGTAGCCTCTTATATGAAAGTTGTATTTGCTTGTAAGATGCATTTCCACCAGTAGCATAACATCAATATGGTTTTCGGTTATGAATTGTGATAATTCTAGTTTATGCCGTGGGACACCATTGGCCTTCCACATTGATATTCGTAGAGCCTGCATAGATTATTTAGACTGTTGTGCTACGAGCAGCTGTATCACCATGTTCTGTTTTTGAACAAGCGTTTGCATGGTCGTTTTCATGAATGACATAAGCTCCATCATACTTTGTTGGAGGGTAAGCATCATAGTTTCCATTTTGCTGTGTGGCTGTTCTGGGGCCTGTTGAGCGCTTTGAGAGTTAGGTTGAATTGGAATTTCCCTTCCAGATCGTAGAGCATCGGCGTAGGAGAAGCCGTTGGTGGTGTTTTGTGGACCGAATGAGGATCTCGCAGCTTTGGCGAAGAAGACGTCTGGCGTGGTTTTTGACGAAACGTACGCATTCTGTGGATTTTGGTTGCGCGTTGCGGTCGCTTGACGCATGCGACTCTTTAACTCCTTATACACCATACATCCTCTATAGTTTGCTGTATGGCTGCCTCCGCAGTTTCCACATTTCTTCACGGTACTGTCCTTGTTTGTAGTGCAGCAAGCGGACTTGTGGGCGTCCCCGCAGACTACACAGACAGCCCGAAGTGTGCAGTAAGACCTTGTGTGTCCATACTCTTGAGAGTTAGTGCATTGCACTGGACCGTTGCGTTTATGTGGCTCCTAAACAGTGATTTTCCGATGCAAAAGATATTGCAGGTTGTAGATTGGGTGGACTTCGTTCTTCGTCAGCGACCTGCTTTCTGGCTCGAGCTCGACCTTGAAGAGGGGTTGTGACTTTTTATCTTTATTTAGAATGTTAATAACATTCTTGGCGGCGAAGCCCTTTTCTTTAAGGGCTTTTTAATTCCTCGGCGGTAACATCAGGTTCTATTCCCTTTACTACCACTTGTAGGCCCTTACTGCTTTTCAGCTGGTACGTGTAATAGTTTTTCTGTACAGTGTCCAGATATTCGGACACGATTCGGAAGTGCTCTTCAGTCTTGGTTTGCACTTTTGTTTCATGGATGTTCCTTTTGATAAACGGAACAACATGAAAGTTGTCACCGTTCCCGATCAACGACGCAATTTTGTTGACCAGGGAACTCGAGGTTTTTTCCTAATATAGATTGGAGGGGGCTTGGGTTTTTTTGCGGTGTCTTGGGCTGGTTGGTTTTCCTCAGCCTCCGCCAGTAGGGCAAA